TTTTGAAGTCTACATGTTGCTATTACTTCCGGTAAGATGGCGCCTGTGTACATGGCTTGCAATCCACCTCTGCTGATGGTGTTCGTATTTTTGGTGTTTTTTTCGTTTCTCATCTGTGACATCAACGCTCTGCTGGTGTATGAACGAAAACAACTTTTGGATCTTCGACCTTGTGGCACCAATGTCGCTTATTTTGATCAATACAAGCGTAACTCTGCCCCCTCCCCCCCCACCCCCATCCCCCCGCTGCTGGTGGACGTGCCTGCTTACCTGCAGCGAGATGCGCACCTGCCTCCCCGGAGACATCGCTCCAGACGCCGTGGAAAACGCACTGGCCGGCTGGTGAAACTTAAAGCCCTACTTGCTGCCTCTGAAACATCCTCTCCAGCTGATGGTGAGCGTTTCCACCTCTGCTCCTGGCGCTGTGCAGATCCTGTGGCGCACTGTCTGGTCCCGCTGTCGGGGTCCCATCATCACACTGGGCGGCCCGTGTGCGGCTGTGTTTCTTGCCGGAGGCGCGCGTCTAACTCTGCAAATCTGAGGCCGCTGGACTGGACACTGCAACCATCTCCTCCTGTGGTGGATTCTACGAGGATGGCCCTGATAAATGCCAGATCGCTGGCTAATAAAACTTTTATTTTGAACGACTTTTTCTGCTGCAACCGACTGGACTTTCTTTTCATCACTGAGACTTGGATCTGCCCTGGTGAGTTCAGTGTTTTTCTGGAATTACTGCCTCCGGATTGTTCTTTTTTCAATGCTCCAAGGACAACTGGTCGTGGTGGAGGATTATTGGCTGTTTTTAAGAAACATTTGCACTGCAGACAGCTCCATGGTTCAGCTAATTATTCAAGTTTTGAACTGCTCTGTTGTGAACTGGGCCGCTCCAACCCAGTTCTGTGTGCTATTTTTTACAGAACCCTCGGATACCATAAACAGTTTTTAAACGAACTATCTGACTTTCTAACTGGTACTCTGCTTCAATATGATCAGGTTTTGATTTTAGGTGACTAATATCCACTTGTGCTGCCCTGATAAACCATTAGCTCAGGACTTTCTAGACCTCATCCAGCCCTTTAACTTTGTTCAGAGTGTTGTTGGTCCGACTCACCAGCAGGGCCACACTAGACTTAATTTTAACACATGGTTTGTCTGTTTCTGATTTAGAATTTGGTGACACTGTTTGTTCCGACCACAAACCGGTTTTATTCAACACCTCATTGATTTGTGAACCTGCACCTCCCCCCACACCCAAGCCCTGTAGGATTTTTAACCCCTTCCACCGCCACACTCTTCTCTTCCATCTTTGCTGGTAATTCTGTTTCAGACTCTGAACTCTCTGTGGGTCTTACTACAAAGGAGTTGCTTTCTCAGTATCAGGAGGCGTGTGTACAGATCCTGGACTCAGTCGCCCCGTTAAAGCTCAGGAATCGAAAACGCACGCCCCACCCTTGGGTAAATGAGACTACACAAGAGGCAAGACGCCTGTGCAGAAGAGCTGAACGTCGATGGAAAAAAGATAAACTTCAGGTGTCTTTTGAGATGTTAAAAACATGTTGGAAAGCCTATCAGACCACCAATAAACAGGACAAAAATTTCTCAAAAATTATCAACTCAAACAGTCACAACCCCCACGTTCTTTTCAACACCATTCTAAACGTGCCTCAGTCTGCCACCATTGAGGCCTCTGTTGACACCTGTAATAAGTTTGTCAGGCATTTTGTTGAAAAGGTTGAGTCGATTAGGTCATCAATTCCACACTCCACAGCCGACCCTTCAGTTCTTGTCCCCTGCTCATCAGTCTTCAGTCACTTTGACCCCATCTCACTCTCATTTTTAATTGAGGTCGTTGGTCACATGAAACCCTCAGGCTCCCCTGCTGACCCCATCCCTGCTGCATTTTTTAAACAGGTTCTACCATCCACTGGACCCTCTGTTCTTGCCTTTATTAACAGCAGTTTGGCTACAGGTGTGATCCCTGATGTTTTAAAACATGCAGTGGTAACTCCATTAATTAAAAAACCTGGACTTGACCCTGCAGCTTGTTCAAACTTCAGGCCAATCTCAAAACTTCCATTTCTTTCTAAAATCTTGGAGAAAATAGTTTTTAGTCAACTAACCAAGTTTTTGAATGGAATTTTTGAGATTTTTCAGTCAGGATTTAAACAACTGCACAGCACCGAGACAGCTTTAGTAATGACAATAATGACATTCTGCTAGCAAATGACTCTGGTCAGTCTGTGATCCTGGTACTCCTCGACCTTACCGCTGCATTTGACACTGTTGATCACAGCATCCTTATGTCACGGCTAGAACACTGGGTTGGGATTACAGGGGTGGCGCTAGAATGGTTCCGTTCGTATCTGGGTGACAGGAGTTTCTGTGTTAACTTTGACAATCATTTTTCTGCTTCTGTCCCTCTTTCCTGTGGGGTCCCACAAGGCTCCATTTTTGGACCCCTTCTGTTCTCATTGTATCTGCTCCCCTTGGGGTCAATCCTGAGGAAACATGGTATTTCGTTTCACTGTTACGCCGATGATTCTCAGATCTATCTGCCTTTAAAACCAAACAGTTCCTGCTCCATCCACCCTTTGCTAAAATGTCTTGATGACATCAAGACTTGGATGGCTGCAAACTTCTTGAGTTTTAATGATCAGAAGACTGAGGTCATTGTGTTTAATCCAAGCTCTACCACTGTCACTGATCCTGTAAACCTGCACTCCCTTCAGCCTCATCTAAAGCAGTCGGTTACCAATCTCGGGGTAGTGTTAGACTCGGACTTTAAGTTTAATAAACAGATCAACTCTGTTCTACAAAAAAGCTTCTTTCAGCTAAGGCAAATAGCAAAGCTTAAGTCCGTTCTGTCCAGATCTGACCTTGAAAAACTAGTCCATGCATTTATTACAACCCGGCTGGACTACTGTAACTCGCTTTATGTTGGGGTTAGTCAGGCTTCACTTTCACGTCTCCAGCTTGTACAAAATGCTGCAGCTCGGCTACTAACAGGAACTCGCAGGTTCGAGCACATTACTCCGGTTCTGTCCTCTCTTCACTGGCTTCCTGTACGTGTCAGAGTTGATTTTAAAATTCTCCTGCTGACATTCAAGTGCATTAACGACCTTGCACCATCATACCTCTCTGACCTTCTTCATCCTTATACTCCTTCTCGGGCTTTGAGATCATCAGACCAGCTGCTTTTGGTCGTACCAAAAACCAGGCTGAAGCTCAGAGGAGATTGAGCGTTTTCAGTCATGGGCCCTAAACTTTGGAACAATCTGCCCATCAACATTTGACAGGCGACCTCAGTCTTTGCTTTTAAATCTCTCCTAAAAACTCAACTATACTCATTGACATTTAACACAGGGTGATTGGATTTAGATCGTTTTTCATTGATACTAATTCTGTTTATGCTTTTGTTATTATTCCTATTTAACACAAGGTCATCAGATCTGATTTAGTATTTCATTGTTTCTGACTGAGTTTATGCTTTTTGTCATTATTTCCTTGACTTTTGACACAACGTGATCTGATTTAGTATTTCATTGTTTCTAATTGTTTTTGGTTTTATATTTTTATTCCATGTGCTGTAAATATATCTTGCTACTTTTTATTTGATGATGTGATATTTTTGTTAAGCACTTTGGTAACAGTTTCTGTTTTAAATGTGCTCAATAAATAAATCTGACTTGACTATTAGATGAGCTCGTCATTAAAAATAAGGTAATTAACCGTTTCAACTTGGAGCTTTGTAAATCAGTTAAAAACACTTTAAAAATCAACTGTTCACAATTTTTTAATAATAAATGTAAAATTAAGGAGCCAAGAACAACGTACCTTTGATCAAACCACAACATATTCTCAATCCGGGGTTTTAAAAATGTCCAAATCATCCACCCAGCCCTTCATAGATTGAACAAGCGCTTCCAGTAACTTGTAATTCTTTAAATAATTTGCGGTGTAAGCACCGACACACACCAGGTCTGCTGGGAATGTCAGTGGAGGCAAATATTACTCTGCGTCTCTGCTCCTTTTTTATTGTTTCAAAGGGGCGACATTTACAATTTTACCTATTTTTTCCATGTACCATTTTTTGTCATCTGAGAGAAGTTTGTCACAATATAGTCCACTTTGTTTTGAGCTACTTTTCAGCGTTATGGAGGTGGATACTGCGGTGACACCACAAACGCGTTTTTTTTTTTTTTTCTTCTGAGGAAAGTTAAAATGGTGGTCGAGAAGGGAAAGCCCCCACACGCCCCCAACGCAGTGACGCTATGGGAACGCATGTCAATGCTGTATCTAGCTTTTATATGATATCTATGCGCCACAGCAGCCAATGCGGGATCTAGTGATTATATATCTATGGTTTATATGATATTTGTGATTCATACATGTTTCTTTCCCAATGCGTCACTGCGCTGCTGTCAGGCGCTCTCGCTTTAAGACGGTTGCTAAGGTAAATGTCCCCTGCAACAGTCCCGCTTTTGGATTGGCTGTCCGTCTGTGTGAAACTTGACGGACAGCTATGTAAACCAATCAGCTGTCGAGAATTGTAAAACTGACTAATGAAAACTAAGATGACAAACATCGATTGACCGACTGCAAAGCTAGAGTACCAGAATCACTGCTTGAAAACGCAAAAAGAACTAATGGTAAGTCAAATATTTGCCTCTTCATTCAGTTTAGCGCATTGACGGGTTATTTATTTTATGTAGCATGAAAGAGAATTGCCCATCTTCGTGTAGCTAACGTTAGCTACCACCAGAGCCCTGTAAAGAGTCTCTTATAGGACTCTGGCTACCACTAGTTGTCTCAACACAACCCGCCTGAATTATTTATTTGTGACAGAACGAAAACAGCAATATTGTATAATAACAGGAGTGTAAAGGTCTAATCACTGAATGGCAATTTTTTCTTTTTTTTTTATGTGGACGAACCCTGGTTGTCAAAGTTTTAACAAATGTCCCCCATTTGTAGACCCAGCATGCGGAGCTAGGCTCTCCTGTAACATGGACAAGTACGAAAAGGTTAAGAAAATTGGGGAAGGCTCATTTGGAAAGGCCATCCTTGTTAAATCCAAAGAGGGTGGACGCCAGTATGTCATCAAGGAGATTGGCATATCTGGAGTAAGCTTCTACCCATCATTTCACGTGTTTCCCTGCTAGCTCTTGTAGGATTACATTTTTCCATTACTTTTGATAGATGTCAAGCAAAGAAAGGCAGGAATCTCGGAGAGAGGTTGCTGTTCTTGCCAACATGAGTCATCCCAACATTGTCCAGTATAAGGAGTCTTTTGAAGGTATTCACACAGTTCAAAGGTGTTGCTGTGAAGATAGCTAGAAGCATATTATCAAAATCTGGTATACTTTAGGAAAAAATTGTTTTCTTTTTTAGAAGGGGGTTGTCTATTTATCGTGATGGACTACTGTGAGGGTGGAGACCTTTTCAAAAAGATCAACTCGCAGAAAGGAGCACTGTTCCCAGAAAACCAGGTAAGCTATAAACACATTGGAACAAGTATCTGATTTAATATCAGCCTAATTTAGCCATATAAATTACTGTTCTTCCTTTGACTTGTTCTATCAATAAATTTATAAAATATTTTAATTGTTGATATTGATACTTCACTGTCTGGTTTTTCCGTCTTCTCTTTTAAGATATTGGACTGGTTTGTGCAGATTTGCCTGGCACTGAAGCATGTACATGATCGAAAAATTCTCCACAGGGACATTAAATCACAGGTTTTAACTTTTAAAAGTGTGTGTGTGTGTGTGTGTGTGTGTGTGTGTGTGTGTGTGTGTGTGAGAGAGAGAGAGAGAGAGAGAGTCATTGTCTTACAACCATCTTTTATTTTTGCTTTATTTGTGTGCTTCCAAAATGTCTGTACAGAACATATTTTTGACTAAAGATGGGACAGTGCAGCTCGGGGACTTTGGTATTGCAAGGGTCCTAAACAGGTATGTTTAGCTTTGTCTGAAAAAAGTCTGCAGATATTTTAAAGACAAAACAATGCAATAGACACAACTTTGTTTCCATCACTTTTTCAGCACTGTAGATCTGGCAAGGACATGCATAGGAACTCCATATTACTTATCACCTGAGATATGTGAAAACAAACCATACAACAACAAGAGGTACTTGATGCTCCGGAGTTATGGGGTTTTGGTGTTTGACTTGTTTGTTAGTCCTCATGTCTTCTCTTAAAAGTGAGTCATGCAGGATTTAGTAGTGGTTTCTGCGTGATGTCAGGATGATATGCCACCCTGTCTTGCGTATTTACATTTACAACAGGAAGCTAATACTGATTTCTCCATTACCAGTTTAAGTATCTGTTATCTGATCCACTTTAGTTATTGTCAGTGAAAATATTTTCGGCTTTAATTTAAAATCAAATGCCCATTTTCTTCAATTTATTATACAGAAAACAGCACTTTCACAAGTTTCAGTTAATAGCTTATTTATTAATTACATTTGTTTAAAGTCCTCCCCGTCTGTCCATGTGTATGCTCTCACCTCTTTCTTTCCCTACTGTCCTTCCTTCTGCAGTGATATTTGGGCCCTAGGGTGTGTCCTGTATGAAATGTGCACTCTTAAGCATGCAGTAAGTATTTTGTTTTTGTGCTGTTTGTATATTAATGTACATTTAAAGCATCCTTTGAAGCATTCCTTGGCTCATTCATGCATGAATTTTAATCTAGATCCTTTACATGTTCTATGTAAAACGGGGGCAAATCTGAGATTCATGAGCTTAGTTAGATTTTTTTCCATTTTAGCTTTCACCTCCAACTGTGTGTGTGTTTGTGTTTTAGTTTGAAGCGGGCAACATGAAGAATTTAGTACTGAAGATCATTCGTGGCTCATACCCTCCTGTGTCTGTTCACTACTCTCAAGAACTTCGGTCTCTCTTGGCACAGCTGTTTAAACGTAACCCTCGAGAGAGGCCCTCAGTCAGCAGTATACTAGACAAACCATTCCTATCCTGTAGGATAGAGAAGTTTCTCACACCACAGGTAAAGTGAATCCTTTTTAAATACCGGTACACTTCTTTCATTTTTTTAAATACATAAACCAGATTTTATCATTTGAAAGATGCGTCTTATGTCTCCTCAGATCATTGCTCAGGAATTCAGTCATACTTTTCTTCACAAACAGCCTAAAGTGGGTGTGGGGCAAATGCTGTCAGGTAAGCAAACTTCATGTAGTGCTCTCTGTCTTAGTAACTCCATACCTTCCGTCTGTCCATCTGCATGCACGTACACACACACACATAAATGCACATATGCATAACAACTAACTCTTCCAGCTCTTGGAGGATTCCAAGGTGTTCCCAGACCACCTGAGAGACCATGTCCTCCAGCGTCTTCCCCAGGATTTCCCCCCAGTTGGACATACCTCGACCACCTCTCTGAGTTCATACTTTACTGAAGAAATTTCTAGAACTTACTAATTTGCTAGAAAACTGAGACACATTGGTCTTCTGTTGTGAGACTAAGACGAAGAATAAAGTTAAGAAAAAGAGTTTGAGCAGAGTGTGGTATATCCAAAGTGAGATGAAGAGTCTGTGGGTAGAGTCATTTGTGTATAAATGATTTTTTAATTTATTTTGTCCAAACTTTTGTTTACCAAGGAAGTTCCTTGAGATCAACATTTCTTTTCCAAAGTAGATCTGGTTAAGAAGGCTTTGCCATTCTTTGTAGCAGCAGCCTTTAGATGTAGTGGTGTCTGTTATTTACAAACTGCTGTGAATCCCAAACCCCAGTGTAAACGGATTCAGTTCTCTGAAATCAAAATTCAACCCAAAGCTCAGCACATTGGAAGGTTACCAGCATATAGTGACTCGCCATGATGATACAACCTGCTAAGAAGAGAACCAACTTTGAAAAGGAAAAACATAGTCTGACATTATCCTGATGCATGCTCAATAATCCAGGTAGAAAAATCCAATAAAGTTCAATCTGGTCCTCTGGACATTCAAAAACAACAAAAAACAAA